GGATGTCTAAAGTGAATAAACGTAATTTCACGCTTTGGGACGGTAGTATTTGTGCATTTTCTACACTTTCAGAAATTATGACAACAGATTCCGCCCCATCCCGTCAAAATATGACGCAAGGGACCTTTGAAAAACGTCAATATGTGACGACTCGGGAGTGAGAATGGGTTGGTTTTCTTCTCTACAGGCTTCAGCATCAACTCGTTCCACAATGTTTGTGCTACTTTAACATTTCATGCATCAAAACGTTCAGCTCCTTCAGGACATTCCAGCTATGACTTTTGGTGTTTCGGCTTTTTATACTTTTGTGAGGAAATTTAAAATTAGGAAGGTTAGTACTGATGTTAAAAGCACAACACTATATTCTTAAGTTCTCCTTGTTGTAATGTTGACAGTGTTTAATCTATTGTGTTTTGATTGAAATAGGTATAGTTACATGTCTGAAACGTCTTTCACAACACATAATTAAACGTTGGAATAAGCTGAGTATTGTGTCTGAATGCCTGTGACTCAGCCGTAGGTCAGCAGGGGGCGAGTGAAGGCATTGAAGAACCTGTATAAATACATGGACTTTGGAAGATCAGACACTTCTGGAAGTGTCTGATCTCACAGAGAAGATTCTGGAAATAACAGCTGAGTATCCATCTCTGAAGACCCTCATCATCATTCATACAGGAAGTGATGAAGTGATGAACTGACAGTCAGAAATCCTGAAGAAGGATTTTATTCAGCTGAATGCAGTTAACTGTTAAGCTAAATTGCAGTTCCTCCTGAAAATGAATGAAGCTGTTTTTCAACATGTTTATTTTATTTATTTTTATTTATTTTTTACAGCACTTTAATCATCTGGGTGCTGCATTTCAACTTGTGGCTGCTAATTTTAGCTTTTTTCTGCTATTTCAGCTATAATTCTGCTCCAGTCTGTTATTCTTCTGCTACTTTCAGCATTTCAAATTGAACTTACATAAACTGTTTTACTATTAAACGTTTGCAGCTCCATTTCACCTAAGCTTTTCACTGAGAAGCATTCACACTAGTATTTTCGCAGGAAATGTAATTTCTCCAGTTAATTAAAAGTGTTGCACTGAAGGAGAAAGTAGAACAATTTGTCAGTTTACCTCCAACAGAACATCTTCATCCTGAGCGTGAGACAAGCCCAGGAGGTGATATCTGAGCTGAACTCACCATGAGCTCCTGGGTGATGAGAATAAACGGTTTGATGGCGTGTCTCCACAACATCCTGCTGTGATTGACCTGCAGGTCCAGATTACAGCTCAGAGACAGAGCAGCCTCCTCGGCGTTACGCTGGATGTTGGAGATCGGACCTGAGAGAGGGCGGGACACAGGATGGAGTGTTTGAATTCTGCCCCACGCTCACTCAGCTCGTTCAGCACGCACACGGACAGTTTACCTTGGTACAGAATGGACGTGATCAGGATCATCAGGTAGGCTTGACCTCGGGAGCCCAGAATACTGGGCAACATGAGGAGGACCGCACACCTGAGGAATGAAGCCAGAGCTCCTCCTACGGCACACACACCTGAAACACACACACACACACGTCTGATTAAACGCTGTGGTTGTGTGTCTGAGAGGTGATGAGAGAGAAGTTTCCTCACCGACAAACACAGCTCCCACCACCAGCTTCAGGTCAAAGGTCAGAGGAAGGTTGTGGGCGATTCCCAGGAACAAAACTAAAAACACAACAAAAAATATAAATTAAAATTACTCATTCATTTCTTGTTTGTAAACATGTTTTTAAATCATTTTCTTTTATTCCTTTTTGCCTAATCGTTCTCAATATTTCATCTTTTATTGTGATAAAATTAATAGATTTGTGTTTAATAACTCAAAAAATGTTTTCACCAGTGAAACTGTCAGAACACGACATTTATTTAATTTAGAGCTTTAAAAAGTTAGCCGAATTTTATTTCAGCACTTTCTGTTTCTATTTTCTCCATTAATGTAGTAAAAAGGTTTATTAATTTCACTTAAAGCGGTTAAAACTATAATTAAACGTAGTAATTGAATACAGGTTCTGTTAGCCGCTTTAGCTAACGTTTGTTTCACGCGCCGGTTAAAGTTACCTAAACCGCTCATCGCTCCGAACACAGCCCTGGCGACCAGCTGAAGCGCCGGATACTCCGCTGCACGCTCGCCGAGCACCTGGAGGAACCTGCGCACACCTGTTGGAAGCACAAACATCTGGAGGAGTCAAGCTAACCGGCTAAAGAGACGCGTCCCTGCGCGTCAACTCACCGCCGAACAGAGCCGGACCTTCCCGCGGCTCGGTGGGCGCCATCTTTAACGTAACGATTAGTTAGCAAAAACCGCTAACGGTTTGTGTTTGAGCTCCCGGAAGTTTCTCTGTTCTCCATGGTTACAGAGGACCAGAGGGGAAAAACGTGTCCGAAATAAACACAAAATGAGTCCCGAGGAGGACAGAAGACACCTGCTAGGTGACATCACCGTCCAGGTGGTGAGGGGCGGGGCCACACAAATAGTTAGAGGAGTCTTGAACAGGTAAGCTAACAGTTAGCATGAGCTAGCACTTTATAAAGAGTTTATAGATATGTTATTAATTTATCTGTAAACATTTTATAAATCATTAATAAATGTTTAATATGCATTAATTAAGGACCAGAAAGAGACAAAACTGTAGTTTCTTATTAAATAATGAGACAAATCTGTTCATATAAACATTTCAGACCAGGTTACTACA